ACTGTGCCGGGGGCTTCCTGTAGTCAGCGCTGGTCAGTTTCAGCAATGGCTGACTTGGGGACGCCTGGGGCAGAGCAGCTGGGGTGCTGCCGGGTTGGCCCACTAGTGCCAAGGAGCGGTGCTGCGGGACCAACCGGCAGCGCCCCACCTGCTCTACCACAGGCCCGGGGCTTTGATCCATGTCTTCCTGGTCTGCTGGGGGGGGCGCACTAGCTGCGTCCCCCCCCAGCAGACCAGGGAGACGCTGAGCAAAGCGGAGGAGGACCCGGGCGGGATCGCGGCGCTTCCAGATCAGCGCCGTGGTCCCGCCCGGGTCCTCCGCGGCTTTGCTCAGGAAGACCAGGGAAACGCTGAGCAAAGATTGTTCATCTTGGTTTCTGAGGACAGGACAAGGAGTAATGGGCTTAAAGTGCAGCAGGGGAGGTTTAGATTGGACATTAGGAAAAAATTCCTAACTGTCAGGGTGGTCAAATATTGGAATAAATTGCCAAGGGAGGTGGTGGAATCTCCCTCTCTGGAGATATTTAAGAACAGGTTAGATAGACATCTGTCAGGGATGGTGTAGACGGAGCTTGGTCCTGCCTTGAGGGCGGGGGGCTGGACTCGATGACCTCTCGAGGTCCCTTCCAGTCCTATTATTCTATGATTCTATGATCTATGATTATGGGGTCTGGTTTTGTGCTCAGTTACATTGTTGTAAAGTTTGGAAGAACACCATCTAAGTCAGTAGATTTAGGTCAGCTGAAAATAAAACCATATTCAGCTCCTTTGTATCTGGAAAAAATACATAACAATGTAAATCTTCTAAATCTTTGCACACTTACTAAAATATTCTTTGCAATATTTATATTAAGTATCTAGTACTGCAACTTTAAAGATTTAGTAGGGATTTATTTTATACAAGTCTACAGTCAAACTGTGGAACTCCTTGGCAGAGGATGTTGTGAAGAGCAGGACTTGAACAGAGTTCAAAAAAGAACTAGATAAATTCATGGAGGTTAAGTCCATGAATACTAATTAGTCAAGATGGGTAGGAATGGTGTCCTTAGCTTCAGTTTGTCAGAGGCTGGAAATGGATGACAGGAAAGGAATCACTTGATGACTACCTGTTCTGTTCACTCTCTGGGCATCTGGCATTGGCAGATGCCCAGACAGGATACTGGGCTAAATGGACCTTTGGCCTGACCCAGTATGGCCATTCTTATGTTTAGTTCCTGTTCTGGCACATAGTCACTATCTGGCCTTGGACACGTCACTTAATATCTTTGCACTTCAGTTTCCTGAAGCTGTGCAGTTTTACTTACTCTGTACTTTTGGGTAGACACATAGGAGAGTTGTTGTTGTGATACTGAGTATTCAGCCATCAAGTCTCCAGCATTGTCCAGGTTCAGTTCCGTCCTCTTCACTGCTCTAATTTTGGAGAATTAAAACGGTGCTTATTATTGGAATATATTACCAAACAGATTAGTTGTGGTGGAGGGGAATGATCTGTACATGTTTACAAATTTCAGCAGATTTACTGAAAACTGAAGGGTTTTAGAGGCTTTTATAAGTAATTGTTTTGAAAGCAAATAACTAATTTTGATTAGCTTAATTACTGGCAAGTTGAAGCTAAAAATCGAGTTACCTTTTCTGCATTGAACAGCAGCAGCAGCAACAGCAAAAAACAGACTGGATGGTGTGATCTGAAAATAAGAAAATGTTCAGTATTTTTAGTACTTTTTGTTTGTTTGTTTACCTACACTGAGGTGTGTAATAGGTTATCTGCTATGGACTTTGTGGGAGACTCTAGGCTAGTTAGTTGGGACCAGATCATGGAGCATTGATAATTTAATTTAACAGGTGAGGAAACTGAGGCATGGAAAGGCTAGGGATTCATTGCTTCTGTAAAGCATGTTGAAGTCCATAGAAGAAAAGCATTATCCAGGTGCTAAGTATTATTCCTATATACAGGCTGGACCGCGCATGCGCGAGAGCAGCATGTGGCGTTCGCGCCTTTGCAATGTCTCACGGTCCGCCCCCCCTCGCTAGTTCCTCTTACCGCTCAGTCTCTGAAAGAGAAAAAACCAGAAAAAACCCAGAGCGGAGAGGAGGGCGGGACGTGGAGCACCCACGGGGGCACATCTCGAAGAACCATTGTTACTACACAAGGTGAGTAATCTCTTCTTCTTCTTCGAGTGGTCCCCGTGAGTGCTCCACTAAAGGTGACTACAAAGCAGTAACCAAGAATGCACTCCGGGTCAGTTATTTTCTACCGTGGATAAGACCGCAGAGGCCACCGCGGTATCCGAAGCCCACCTCCTACTTATGGCATAATGAAACGCGAAAGTTACACTAGAGACCCAGGTAGCTGCGCGACAGATACCATGAGGGGAACTCCCCTCGCAAATTCTGTAGTTGCAACTGCTCGCGTAGAGTGAGCACGAGGTAAAGAAGGAAGAGGCTTGTTCTGGATCGAATGACAATTTGTAATACAAAGTGTAATCAATTTGGCAACGTGCTGGGTGGAGAGTGCCTTGCCCTTGGATCTCTGTGCCGTTGATACAAACAGCCTGTCTGTCTGCTGCCATTGACGGGTTCTGTCTATATAGAAGGATAGTGTGCACCGGACATCGAGCGTGTGGAAAAGAGCATCCTTAGTTGAAGAATGAGGCTTGGGGTAAAAAGCTGTGAGGACAATAGTCTCGTTAATGTGAAAAGGAGAGCAGACCTTGGAAATAAAGGCCGAGTGTAATCGTAATGTTACCGCATCTTTGGAAAAAAACAGTGAAAGGGGGATTTGCCATCAAAGCCCGCAGCTCACTCAGGGTATGTCTACACTACAGCGCTAATTCGAACTAACTTAGTTCGAATTAGTTAATTCGAACTAAGCTAATTCGAACTAACGCATCTAGTACTAAAAACTAGTTCGAATTAGCATTTTGCTAATTCGAACTAGCGCGTCCGGGCTTAAGGATGGCCGGAAGCAGTGCCGGCAGGGCATCAGAGGAGGACTTAGAGCGTGGAGATGCTGTCTCAGGCTAGCCGAGAGCTGTGCTTAAAGGGTCCCAACCCCCACCCTGGACACACAGTTCTCAGGGGTGCCCCACTTGCAAAGCAGTCCTGGCTTGGATTGCCCGGAGTACCCACACTGGGCACATCACAGCACTTGGCCATCAGACCGGCTGCACTTGCCGCAGGCTGCCATCTGGGGAGAGGGGGCA